AAGGTTAGCCGAGCATTCGCGGCATCCCTACGAATCTTAAGGTCTCCGAGTGTACAGCCTATGAGAGCATCATGCTGCTCTGTTGTTAAAGCAGGGATACCCTGGCTGTTTGAATAATGACGCACCTGAGAGACCAGTAGGCAATTACCTGTAGTTTTGAAGAACAGGATAGTATGTCTTATTGGAACCTCTTAGTCTAATAGGCAGGCTTCATTTTGAAGCCCATTGCGACTATGTCGCAGGGGGGGGGAATTTTTTAACTTATCAGAAGATGAAGAATAAGGGTAAAGCAAGATACTTACAATAAGAATTAACAGATATTCAGGTTCGTTAACCTGAAAGGTTAGAATTACGAACGAAATCAAAGCCAAGACGAAATACAACGCATAGTGGGGCACAAAGCCTGTATCTAAGGTTGCCATATTCTGACTGGCTTTTAATAGTAGGCTAACCAGCCCATAAGGCCCTAACAGCTCTAAGACGCCACGATCGAGTGTTTTAGAGCAGTAGAAAGCTAATGCAAGAACTTTATTTGTTATTAGCGCATATAGGAGATTGAACCGATACGCTTGATTTAAACAGGCATAGGCCGATCTCCCTAACTTGCTACTAATGAGGGATATTAAGGAGCGAGGGTAGAAAGTATACAGAGCCAGCAGGAGTACAGAGCCAATAGAAGGGAGTACGACAGGAAGAAGATTGTATAGGAGAGGAACAGAAAAATGCGTATCAACTAAGAGAACATGATTAGGATGCTGAAATAGAGCATTCCCATAAAAGTTTGAGCCTGCACCTACAAAGGCGTCTTGACCGAAATATCCGAAGAATATACTTAATATAGCTAAGATAACCAGTGGAATGGCCATAATCACGGGTGACTCGTGAACAGATAGGTACCGATCCTTACCCCCATTAGGTCGATTATAGAATGTTAAGTAGAGCATCCGAGTCGAGTAAAGAGCTGTAAACAGTGCAGCTAGAACGGATAACCAATATCCAACATGGCCGGAGACTGAGTAATTACCGTAAGCTGAAGCTATGATCAGCTCTTTTGAATAGAAACCTGTTAAGAAAGGTATAGCCATCAAAGATAGTGAACCTATCAGCAGCATAGTGTAAGTGAAGGGTAATAGTTGGACTAGGGCACCATAGGCTCTCATGTCCTGTTCGTCATTGAGCGCATGTATTACTACCCCTGCTGCCAGGAATAATAATGCCTTGAAGAAGGCATGGTTTACTAAATGGAATAATGCGAGATCGTATTGAGAAAGCGCCTCCTCACTAACCTTTGGCGACTGGCAAGGGAGCCCCTATGTATATTCAGCCCAATTCAGCTCAGCAGGAATTCGGACTTATTGAGTTTAGAAAGGTA